CTCCAGGAGCCAGAGGCTCATCCTTCCCCGCGTCCATCCTGGATCCTCCTCATCCGCCTAACAGGACAGACTCCACCTCCCAGCCTTCTGTATCCAGCTCCCTCCCCCTCCCTCCGCCTCCTCCCTCCCTCAGCGCAGAGCTGCTGGAGCTGGGAGACAGCCTTATGAAACTGGGGAGCATAACCACTCCTTACGACCTGGACACAAACACGCAGGAGCAGCTCAGCTCACACCACACATACATACAAAGTACACATGCTGCTCCTTACACCACTGAACCTGCCTGCAGCAACCCCAGCAGCCACAGACAGGATCAGAGTGCACTGACTGCCCCATATGTGCTCGATCATATCACCATCACAGACCCTCGTTATGACAGCAAAGAGCAGACTTCCTGCCATTCGAGTGCATATTTAGCCAAGGCTGAGCACGCCGCCTCCTGCCTCCCCGCTCCAAACCCCGCACATCCTAGTTCCTATAACCGGGAACATACAGCCACGTACAACAGCAACCCTAAACCGGACAGCTCCTACAACCCCTGCCCCGAACACAGCAGCTCTTACACCGCAGAGCGCCCTGCTGCCTACGCCGTCGAACGCCCCCCTAAATCAGACCCCCAGCCCCCTACCCAGTTGTGCCTCCCATCTCCAGAGCTTGAGCCAGAGCTGCTGCTCTCACCAGTGATTCCCCCAGGGGGCCCTTTCACCCCCAGTGACCCTCAGAGCCTGGAGCCCTTGGACCCCACAGCCAGCGCTCAGCTGCTGGATAACATCATGGCCTGGTTTAACAACAACATAAACCCCCAGAATAACCCGCAGAGCCTGGCTCTCATCCCCTCCCCGCCCACCACAGAGACAGACTCCTCTCCCGACACACACACCGAGACTGAGAGCCAGACCTCCGCCCCCATCCGGCAGCCCCTGGAGGGCGAGTCGGAAGTAGGCATAGGGTCGGCAACCGGCCCACCGGGAGCCGAGGGCGTGAAGACGTCAAGGCCGAACACTCTGGAGCTGGAAAAAAGAGACGCTGGAGAAGAGGGTGTGGACGCAGGGTGTGTGGCTGACCTGTCGCTGGACGAAGCGCACACACACCCGCATTCACACTCCCAACATGGAAACAGTCCCGCACACACTGCCCCGGCAATGGAGAGAGACTCAGACCTCGTCCTTCAGTTAGAGGAGGACCGGTCACCTGAAGAGTGGATGGAGCAGGAACACCTAGTGTGAAAGTGACAGATGTAGAGAGAAAGAGAAGGTAGAGCCGAGATAAAGAGAAAGAAAACCAATCAGAGAGAAGCACTGATGGATGATGTAAGATGTGTGATGGTGGTGCCTGTGTTTGGGGGGGTGGAGTGTTTACTGTATGTATTATACTGTATTTAGAGAGGACTTAAAGACCCGCGGACTCTGTCCAGTAAAGATGATGTCATACACGTTTTGATTATTTTTAAGTGCTTTTTGTCTGCTCTAAAAACAGACAAATTATTCTTTGAAGTGTTTAAACCATGAACGGAGAGCTACTGATATCATAACACAACAAAATGCTCCATGTTTTAGTTTAGTTTAGTTCTTTTCTTATTTTAATTTAATTCCCCACCTCTTCTGTTTGTCTCCTAAGTTTGTTCAGGGTGACGTTTTGGTGCTGTTCATGCTGAAATCCAAACTTGCCTCATTTAACTACACTTGATTCTTACACTAACCCAACCACAAGCCAGTTCAGAGCTCCAAGAGCCAAATATGAAGATAACTGTAACTTTGGAGTCTGTTTATAGCGTGCTGTACAATCAGAGGGCCTAATTCTGATTTCTGGACCTTCATGCACACTGTGCCTGTTTGTGTTAGTGCCAATACAGTCCTGATCTTTCTTTTCAGCAGGCTGGCACAGTCTGCTGCGTAAACGTCACACTATTACAGCACCTCTCTGCATGTGAAGGTCAGGGGTCAGCCCCAGCTGCAGAGCAGCGCCCATAAAGCTGGAAGTTCAGTGGGTGCTTGTTTGCAGAGCAGATTGAGTTCTCTGTTTTTTGTTCTGGGGGGGTGTTGTTTTGTTTTTGTTTGGTTTTTTTGCTACTCGCTGCACATTTCAAATGTTTTGTATCAAAGATGCATCTTCATGTTTAATCTGCAGAGATTTACAGTGTTTTTCTGCCACTTTGGCTCAGTGTTAGTGCACCAGATCTCACGTAGCACACAAAATACAGTGGGTATTAAATGAGGTAATGCATCAACCAATCAAATTAATCTGAGAATAATGATATCCAGTATTTAACCTCCTCGGATCATTCATACTTGCTTTGATTTTAAAAAAACTACAAATATCACGGAGGAAATAATTTGGCATTTTAAGCTGAAGACTGACTTCAGAATGATCCTTTACTTTATTAAACCTGATAAATAAAATACAGTCAACAGGTTTAAAGTGCTTCAAACAAGTCGTCCAATCAAAATTATTAAATGTTAAACCAATTAAAAGAGTAAACAGTTAGCAGATGGTAAACTAAGATATGCTTTATCACTTTGGATTATACACAATGTGTTTTAAAGTTTGACTTTACACTGCAGCACATTTAAACAAGCTGATTTTTCATAAAAAGTGAGATTTCAGCCACTTTCACAAGTTTTGTCTTCACAGAAGCTGCTGTAAACGGTGTTTATACGACTGTAAAATAAATAAATGAGAATATATTGTTAAAATGCTGCTGCACTGATTCATGAATCTGTTTGTTTGGTGCTCGTGTGAGCTGGTTCTTTGAGTCGTGCGGTTTCTGAGCCAAAGCAGGCATAACAAATACTGTAAATGTGAGCACATTTTATGGTTTTATGTAACTTTTTATCATATCTTTTCCACTACTTATAGCGCCCTGCAGTGTGCTCTAATCGATGGGATGTGGGTTTGGGTTTCTGCTGTATTTGATTCTTTTTATTCCTTTAATTATAGAGAAGATGTTTTATTCTGTTGAGACCAGAGTTGTTGGATCTGTGTGCCTTTTTCTTTGTTTTGTTTTGTTCTGATTGTATTTATCTGTTGCTATTTATTAGTGTCATTGCTTTTTAAACATGCTTCATAATGAAAGATGATGATGAAAACACTTTAATACACTGATTTTGTTTAATTCCCCCTCACGGGTGAGTCGCAGCGCCCACGTTTTCAGCCCTGAATGAAAAACCTCTTTGAGCCTCTCTGAAGGAATCCGCTGCTTTTCCACGATGATCAAAAACACTTTATGTGAATGTTGAACTTTGATTTGACGCCGCCTCGGAAATGTAACTGCTGGGATGTCATCAAGCCTCAAATCTTTAAACTTTATTGCCCAAATACAATGTTTACAAGGGAACTAAACACTGCCTGCTGTGATGAGGACTGATTTGGTGCTCTGGGGAGTGAAATGAGAATAAATGTGGGGATTTTAAATGTCCTTTGATGGCATGTCAGACAAATACAAAGACACCCTTTGTAAAACTCAAACTGACTCACTTAAAACTGATTTTTAAGCATTTTCTGAAACCTGAAGTGATAAAGTGAGAACTGTGAAGGTGGTTGGCTCATAGCATTGCACAAAGCCCGCTGAGATGTGAGGGCAGTTGTGACATTTCAGGCTCCGCTCCCTGAGGATGGAGGGGATTCACGTCAGTGTTTGGGCACACGCTGCGTCTTTGTTTTGCAGGAACATGCTGCCGAGTGTCGGATGTGTGGTGGGGCTGTGGAGGGACAGCGGCTAAATATTCCCTTTTTTTGTGTGTGTGGCATTGATGGCGTCACGCAAGCGGTTGCATTAGTGTTTATGATTTAATGCTCCCTCATCTGACATCTTCAGAGTTTAAGAGATTAAAATTGCACTCTCACAGATTATACTTGATACATTCCCAGCTGGTCAAAAGAAAGGGTTTGATGTGTGGCCAAAACTAAAAATGAAAGTGTCAGTGCAAAGTTTACTCTCAATAAAAAGAACTGAAAGTGCACTGCAGTGACATTTTTATTTTTTTGTTTTAGTGCTTTGATTTCTGAACTTCCATCAGCAAGAAAAGGGAACATGTTCCCTGATTAGTCTCCTATTTATCGTAATGTACATGGTAGACTGACGTCTTTTCACTTCATGCTGCTGTCAAATCCGCAACAGCTCTTAGCATGTACATGGAAATGATAAGTAAACCCATTATCTTTAGGTTTAGACTGCATTTATTTGAAAAACTTAACACAGCTGCACCTCAGGAGAACAGAAGTGTTAGATTTTTTTCATTTGTTTCTATTACTTTTTTAAAAATTGATTTGGGGTTTGGGAAGGCTTTCTTTATTTTAATTTGTTTTCATTGTGTAAAATGTTCAGTTTGATTAGTTTCACGATTTATTTCTGTAATCTGTCAGGAGGAACATTTTTAGATATGCAGCTATTACAGCACAAATCCAATGCGGCATCTCAGCCTCACTAAGTATGACCAAACTGCCAAAGACTTAAACAAGACACAGCACTGTGCAAAAAACTTGAGTCACCCCTTGCTTTCTTTATATTTTGCTTTTAAGCAGCCAAACTTCTTGATCTCTGTTCTTGAGGCTTTCTGAAGGTCTTTCAGTTTTTATTTACACCTCAGGAATGCATCTGGCTCTTCAGTTCATACACCTACTGGTCGGTCTTATCAGAAATCTTTTTCACTGGAAGGATGTCTGTCAAGAAGATCCATTTTCCTAGCAAAGTATAAAGGATATCTCAAGACGTTTGCACTATATTGTAGCGTTTTCTGATTATTTGTTATTTAGTTTACACACAGTAAGTTTTTACTGTTGTTATAGTTTACTAATGTTGACACTTTGACAACATATATTATATTACAATAAAAATGTATATACGCATTTCTTCTGTTAAATATTTTCTTCTGTAAAGTTCAATAAATCCAAATATTTGTTAGATTCGGGGCATAAGTTCAAAATGCTGCTTATTCTTCCACCGGTAGGCGGCAGTGTTGTCGTGCAGCGTGTCTTCTTCTTCTTCGTCGCCGTCGCTCCTTTAATGACGTCGTAAGTGCGCGAGTCAAACGTAATTGTTACCACAGCGGCCTGTGTGTGTTTTCACTCGATCGCTGCAATTTTTCTCTTTGGTGGAGGATTTGTCTCTACAGTCCATCACCATCATGAAACTAGTCAGGTAAGCGGAGTCTGGAATGCGCCATTTAACGAACGAGTGAACGTGGGATGATGAAGTGAAGGCGCTGCGGCTGGATGGGTTTAGATGGAAAGCGGAGAAGAGGAGGATAAGATATGAGCGGGAAGCGTCGGGCCGAATGAATGGAGGTTGTCCGGAGTTAGAATGATCGCATTCACAGTTAAACTACACCTGTAGTGTTAACTCTGATGCTCGGTAGTTGGAATTAGCTGTATGCATCGACGATTTTTAAAAGTACTTTGGTTCGTGGACGTTAGCAGACTCACAGGTCCGGCCTCGGTTAAGCTGCTACTCAGCGAACGAAATAAACATAACCTAAATGTATAGTAGCAGGAGCATAAAGCTAGTCCAGTATTTATTTTGGTTATGGCGGTTAACTCTGGAGGGTTTCAGCGGGTTTTCATAAGGTTGTCTCACTCCGGGGGTGGTTTTGTTTTGCAGGTGAAAGCTATGCAGCTAGTAGCTAGCTTGAGGCTAGTTTTTGGTTCATTTCCAGGCTGAACTCAAACATAGATGTTCATCTTCTTCCACGATGCCCACAGGTTTTTGATGAAGCTCAGCCATGAGACTGTTACCATCGAGCTGAAGAACGGCACTCAGGTCCACGGCACCATCACAGGTAAGACTCAGCTAGAGGTGATTTATTAAACAGGTGTTGGGCTCACCTCCTTACCGCTTTCATTAGTTGTGCTGCCCCTCTAAGCCAATTCATTCCACTAACAATGCTGTAGTTCAGGCGTTTCAAAGTAATGCTCAGAATTTTAATGTAACGGTGGCCAGTAAGGCTCATTTTCAAGCCAGCACCCAATTCTCCCTAAAGCTAGAGTCCTGCGGAAAGGCTGGGAAATGTTTATATATAGCTTGCTTAAATATAAATATAAACGAAGTATGCAGGTCCCAGGTTTGCAATTAAGAATTTTAAAGATCAATAAACTGGTTTTAGCTGATTGCAACTTTCCCAGCTCCCTCTGTTAGTAAATACAGTGAGCATCATAAAAAGTGAAGTTTGTTCCATAGTCTTCATATGCTTGTGTATTCCCTTTAATGTCCCAGTGATACTTCAGTGGGAAAGCACAATCAAGTCCTCCTGTGCATTGTACTTTTTTGCTGCTGTTTTTTAATTTCTTAATAAAAGAATAATCATAGCATCAGTATAAGGATTTACAAATGTCAGTGAATTCCTGGAGGGAGATTGCAGAAATTATCAAAATGGAAGAGGGGGAATGGTCAAAGGAGGAAGTGGAGAAACACAGAAAAAAAATCTAACCTCAGTAAAGAGATGTAATCGAAGATATTTTATTTGTTTCTATCAGCTGGCACTGCGTATGAAACGTTGGGACATGACTGCACTGTAATTAACACATACTGCACCACACACAGCATAAATGTTGTAGGACCTAGAAAGATTTACTGTGTGACATCATGTCATTATCACTATTAAATGTGCTCCAGTGCAGCCCTCCATAATCCAGACTGTACAGTGGTCAACATAGCTGATGCTGTGTGGGTTCGAACAGGGAAGGAAGTAACAGCGGCGTTCACCAGGAATGGGAGAAACACAAAGTAGTGATGCGCAAATGAAGCAGAGAACCAGTACTGACCCACTTGAAAGTGGGTTCATTCATTCAAAACTTTGTTTCAGTGACATCTAGTGGTGGAAGAGGAGTCAGCAAAACAATGTGTTGATAATCGTGCTGATTGTAAGGAGGGTTTGTGTGAATGATATCAATACAATTTTGCAAAGACAGTCAGTTGATTCTGTAAACGTATCTAATAGTTGGAAGAAGGCGTGCTCTGGGAAGCTCAGTGTGTGCTGGGACGGTAGGGTGTGAGATTATACTTTCCATAGTTTTAACACTTCAGGTGTTTATGTCATAACTTCGCCCTTCTCCACGGTCGGCTGGTTGATCATCAGCACATGTGGTCCACAGACACCCTTCTTTGACACATCTGACAAGACACTCTGCAGGTAGATGAGCTGTCCACGGAAAACCAACACACCACGTCTGAACCATAATTTCAGCATTAGTCTAAACCGTGTCAGTGATGACAGTCTTCCCTTCTTCCTTCACAGCCACTGGATAAAAAACAGACTTTAGACAAGTGCTTGCATGATGTACAATGATGAGGGACGTGAGAATGGCTGACAAAAAATGCAGTGCAGAACACAGAAAGTGGGCATCTGAGCTGAAAGACTTACAACTGCATTTTTTTCTTTATCTGCTTGTCAGACCAACTGAGCAAAAAAAACAAGGCAGCAGTTACATTGCAGGTAAAATAATAAAGGACGTTCATATAGTAGAGTTTAGTTGTAGTTGTCCACACTGGAGCACACAGGTGGAGGGTGGAAGTCAGAACAGTCGGGAACAGATGTTTCTACACTCATTTGGACTCACTCGGAGTCTTACTTCCATCTACTGTATTCAGTTTTCAGATTTTCCTTTCCTTTCCGTAGGTGTCGACGTGAGCATGAACACCCACCTGAAGGCGGTGAAAATGACCCTGAAAAACCGGGAACCCACTCAGCTGGAGTCGCTGAGTATCCGTGGCAACAACATCCGCTATTTTATCCTGCCGGACAGCCTCCCGTTGGACACCTTGTTGGTCGACATCGAGCCAAAGATCAAGTCCAAGAAGCGAGAAGCAGGTGAGGACGTGTTTGCTGTGCACCTGGCTCTTTTTGTTGTCTTTAAAGGCTTGTTTTTTTTGTACCCACAGGCTGGTTTATAAATGTCACTTCCCAACACTTTTACATGCATGGTGCTTGTCTCATGTGGACAAAGGGTCACACGTCACATGAACTAGTATCCGTACGGCAGCTTTTCATGTCCTTTGGAAAAGTTAAATCTAGAAGCTTTGTGCAGAAAAGCAAACGAGGGCTGTGGGAGCGTAGGGGCCTTATGCACGATCGCTGTGTTGGATGTTTACAGTTCTTCCATACCGCTGCTGAAGCTGTGGTGTGTTGTTTTTTTTTTTGTTTGTTTGTTTTTCCCCCTGAGTTGTTGTATAGGAACACATTGTAGCTATTCATGCGCATCTAAAGTGTGAGCATAAATGAAAACAGTGCTGCGCTGACGTCACAGTTGGTGCGAGCAATGACTGGTGCATCTATCGTAACAATAACATAAAATATAAAATGCCTCAGAAGCATTTCCACTGATGTCCTCTGTCACGTCTGAAGCTCTCACTCACCCACAACCTGTTTCCAGCAGGTTTTTAATTGCTCACAGCTCTTTCTGTGTCTTTTTAAAATCTGTGTAGTGCAAATTGTACTATCAGATTTTTTTTAGTCCCTCTGCCTGGTCTCTTCCACATCAGCATGTGGTTAAACAGCCCACTTAGAAATCACTTGGGTGCTCAGGGTTGTTTCAGTGATCACATTTGTTCACTTCTGCAGTATTAAGTTTATATTTTCAGGGCCTGTGTTTTTTAAATTTGTGTACAGGAAGTTTTTCAGAGTTGATGCAGTTTTAAATAGTGGTATCTAAGTGATCTTTAACAGGGCTTTTTGTACTCAGGCCTGTTGTGCACTCTGTCCTGCTGTAGTTACGGGAGCATCAAGCCCAGAAAAAGTCAGATACAGGCTGTTATACAGTCACCTTAAGAAATGGAAATTGATTTGTGCTGAGTTATCGCTGGTGTGAGTTTCAGCAGGGTTTGTGTGAGTTTGTCTTCACAGCATGAGATGACCAGACACAAAGTTGATACTGATAAACTTATAAAATTAGATTGGAGATATAAGGATGATGGATTTATTGGGGGTTAAACACCAAACACCGGTCAGTATGGCTGAGTTTATACTCACCACAGACATGTGGCCTTTATTCAGTCTCTAATATCTTCCATTTACCACACTAAACAACATACATGTGCATCTTTAAACATGTGACAGAAAACTGGTTCTCCTGGTTTTGTTCTTCATATTTACTCCTCTTACTGTACTTTAGAGCCATGCTACAGTGTTTAGTTGCAATGTGAGACCCTGAAATGATGCTGCTGCTCAAAGAAATCTTACTCCTGTTCAAAGCAATGTGTTTACACTTTCTATTAAATATATTAAACATTACTCAAACCAGAAGTAAATCAGGATTAATGCTCAGATTTAAATTGAATAGGGTAGCACAGATTCGATTTTTAAGCTGCACATAGAACAGCCTGTCTTATGTTTATAGTAACATAGCAACTCAACACATGTAGGTGAATGTTTGTGACAAATCTGTTGCTCTCCCCTCAGTGGCTGGACGGGGGCGAGGCAGAGGACGAGGACGTGGCAGAGGAAGAGGAAGAGGACGGGGTGGACCAAGGAGATGATCCAAAGGCCTTAAAGCTGCATCTCACCATCCACTGTTTGTACAGGAATTTTTTTTTTTTTCCCTACAATTTGCTCAAAGGAAACCATTTGTGAATTTCAGTGTGTTTTTCATTATTTTGTACATTAAAAATGTTCCTCATTAAGAGGATAAACTTGACTCCAGTGCATTATTACGATACCTGTGTGACAGGGGTTCAGGTTAAACTTTTGTTCTTTATTTACAAGGTTGAATAAAGTTTCTTTGTACTTTGTTAATTTTCTGTTAAAATCATGATCATTAATTTGAAGCACTCAAAACACAACAGGTTATGTTGTGAGAGGAACGAAACCAGTTTTGTCTTTTGGGTGAACCAGTTTTTGTCTGAGCGTGTTTACGCCCACTCACATCCTGGGCTATCTGAACTCAGGAATTCGCATGATAAGGTGGCCGGTTTCACAAAGAGCTCACCCAAAACCCTGGCTGATTGGGACCCACACCCAGTTTCACACCTTGGTTCACGCGATTAGAGGATCATCAGGGGGTCCTTTTGTCCCTCTGTGGGGGGAAACTCCCACTAAGTTTAAATCTGGGACTCCCCACCATTTGACCTTAGAACTGAAGAAGCTTCTCGGATGAGAGGTGAAACGTCTTCAAGCAACTTAAAGAAGTCCCGACGCTTTTCTTTGCAAGCTCCTTTGACTCATCTAAAGACAGCATCACTGACTTGATCAGAATGTGAAGATGAGAAATAGAATAAAATGTTGAAGCATCATGCTGATATAGTTTATTTAAAAAAGCATGTGAGTGTACTGTATGTGTGAACACTCAAGATCAGCAGAACATGATCTGGGATGCACTTAACCTGGAACACTGAACAGGTTCCTGAAAACTCTGGAACAAACCAAAAATGCTTATAAAAATGTGACCTCAAAAGTGAAACATATTGTTGGCCACCAAATCCTGCCTTTGTGTATAATGGGTCAAGAAAGAGGATTTCTCTTTTAGGTGGCTTCAGTACCTAAGAGACAGTTAGCCATGACTTCAAACCTGTCATTGCAAGCGATCACAATCAAAGACTTTTGAAACTGCGTCATAAAAGCTTGAATACATCTCAGGCACAGCAAAATTCTAACAGTTTGTATGTGTCAAAAAACAAGACTTACACACAACTGGAAATGACCAGGTGTCCAGAGAGGGAGAACTATGATGTCCATCCTCTGAGCATCAGTCTGAAACAGAATTTTATTTTTAAGTATTCTGTATATGAACTCTCACCAAAGTTATAAAAAAAATCATTTTGATTACTTGCTTGTTTCTTTAAAGGACGGTACACTTACAGGAAAGGACTGCAATGGATCACAGCCATAGGGTGCAAGCCAAGTCCGGGTGACATACAGATTTTCTATGTAAATGCTTATCCCCTAGAATGTAAAAACAGCACATTTAAAACAACTCTTTAAATTAAAGCTTGACAATCCTCATATACATCATACAGTACCTTTGACTGAACAATTTTAGTGATAAGCTCAAAACAGCCATTTCCAATCTGAAACAGAAAAAAATCAAAAAAATGAATGTACACTTTATTGTTTCATATTCATAGAAACAAAATACTTACAGTCGATTCCATTTGTTTGTTTAAACCCAGTGTCCAAAAATCTGCCCGCGTGAGGCATCCAGAAGACGTTTCAACAATCAGCTCATCTTTTGGTCTGCTGATGTCCAGAACATAGTTGAGCTAAAAAAAACAGAGAGGTGTCATAGACTGTGGATGACAAAATCAGATAAGCACTAAAAGTTGCACTTTGCGACATCTGAAAACTTAAACATACAAGCTGTTGTTGGCCAGGGTGACCCCTCATCTGGGGCTCTCCTCAGCTCTTC